GTTCATGCCTGTTTACTTGGTGTTGTCTTTCTCTCTGTGTTCAAATCAAGTGATATTTTGCTTGATTTTGACTTTTTCTTTCAAAATCACATCTTGTATCTGATCTCAAGCTCTTCGCTGATACTGTCATACAATATTGACATTGAGCTGATCTATTTTAATTTTGTTCATTTAAAACTCTGTAAAAAATATATATATTAAAAAAAAATATATATATATATATACAGTGTATATATATATATATATAAAAAATATATATATATACAGTATATATATATATATACAGGTGCATCGCAATTAAAAATCATGTTCCATGAAGATATTTTGTACATTTCCTACCGTAAATATATCAAAACTTAATTTTTGATTAGTAATATGCATTGCTAAGAACTTAATTTGGACAACTTTAAAGATGATTTTCTCAATATTTTGATTTTTTTGCACCCTCAGATTCCAGATTTTCAAATAGTTGTATCTCAGCCAAATATTGTCCTATCATAACAAACCATACATCAATGGAAAGCTTATTTATTCAGCTTTCAGATGGTGTATAAATCTCAATGTCAAAAAATTGACCCTTATGACTGGTTTTGTGGTCCAGGGTCACATATATGTATATGTATGTATATATTAGATTTTTTTTTTTTTAAATGAGGGTCACATGACATATATGTGTGTGAGTGTGTGTGTGTGTATGACATATATATGTCATGTGACCCTCATATAACTTAATGAAAAAATCATAATCTAATAAATGAATCAAAATAATAATAAATCTGTTACTTTTATCAACGAATGGTTATTCATTTTGTCTGTATTTTAATAAATGGTGTTTGTAAGAGTGATGTTTCATGTTGTAAAATGTGTGTTTGTGTAGTTTGTTTTATAGTATATGTGCAGTGTTGTTAAAAGGATATTCTGTTCTGTCATTTGTAATTATCGAATTTATGTTATTAATTTAGCATTTTTTTGGAATATATGTTTAGAATTAAAAATACATTTAAATAACCTCTGATTGTCACATTAATACCCATGATTGTATGATACCAATTAATCAAATGGCTTTGGGTTTTAAACATTTTCTCATAACTGGGGTTATATTATATCTTACTAAAAAACTTAACCTAATTTTATTTCAGCAAGTTGCCAAGGCAACATTTCTCATTTTTATTTAGTTTAACTAGATGTTTAATTGGTCACTTAAATAAGTAAAACTAAAATAAAAAATCTATAGATATTTAAAAAAAAAACGAATACATATTATAAAAACAACATAATTACTAAAACTTCAACTTAAAATACATAAATACTATACTAATTAGTAAAAACAGTAAAAAAAAACTGTAATAGTATCTACTATTACATATATATTTAGTACTACAGATACTTACTCGTACAGCATGTTTATTTGTGGATGGGATGTGTAGTTCATTTAGCTCACAAGTCTAGCTCTGAGAGAGCTATTAACTTGTTTTTTTTTTTGTTAAACTGGGAAATCAGATTGAGGAAGGTCACGTTATAAACTTTGATTGTTGTGCAGCAGGCGTCCAGAAATCACCATCCTCTCTGCTGAGCCGCTGTCATCCAATACATGGTTCCCAGGGGCCTCTGGGGCGTTTCCTCCGGCCCCGCCCCCAGCCCCGCCCACATGGGCTGCAGGCTCGGCAACAGTGCAGGTGGGTGGAGCTTAAGGAAGTTGTACACGTGTGGAACCCTTCATGTATTTGATTGATTGATTGATTGATTGTGCTCCTCCTCTCCAGCTCCCGCCTCCATCCTACGAGCAGGTGATCCGAGAAAAGAGCCGTGAGCAGAATCTTCACTCCTCCTCTTCGTCATCTCCGTCTCCATCTTCTCGTCACTCTACCTCCACCATCGCCACGCAGACGGACACAAACTCCCCCGGCCCACAGTCCTCTGCTGCTCGTCCAGGTATGAAGAAATGAGATCGGGCTTTAGTGGAGGCTGCATTTACAGCTAATATTTGACTGTTTTGAGATTCGAGATTTCAAACGTGACATTCTTGTCAACAGATGAAGCACATTTTCTGTTTTTTTTTTATTTTGAGTAAACACTAAAAGAAGTGCTCATTTAATTTACCCTGCATCCTTCACTGACGTTGATTATTTGCAGACAAACCCTTCATTTAACCACAATACTTTACTAAAAAAGTTGCTAACAAAGAAGTAATGAATCATAAAAACATAATAAATAGAGTAAGTTAAGTTTAGTATTTAAGAAGAAAAGAAATTAAGTTAAGTATTAACAAAAATGTATCAAAAATAAAAAGAAATCTGCTATTAAATTAATTCCTTAAGGCAAAACAATATTTTTCATGCGTTGGTCAATTTTAAGAATTTGCTTCTATAACATCTTTAAGACTAGTGGAAAGAAATAAAATATATTTACATGTTTATTTTAGTGCACTTTATCAATTGGTGTCTGTAGATTTCAATTACAATACATACCTTTAAAAGTTTTTTCTCCACTTCAGCAGCACTTACAAACACCAAAACTTAGTTTTATTCCTCTCTATATTCTGAAAGTTTTTACTGAGGGGTTTGTTTGTATATTTTTCAGGCTGATTTATATGACATATACCTAAAAACATGGAGATAATACCTTTTTAAAGCACTGTGAGTTTTGTTATCCATTTCAGCAGCACTTACATACACCAAACTTAGCAGTTTTATTCCTCTCTATATTCTGAAGGTTTTTACTGAGGGGTTTGTTCATATATCATTCGCTTGAGTTTATTACTGCACTTTATCCATTTGCATAGATTTCAATTACAACACATATCTTTAAAGGCGATTTTCTCAAAAACGTTTTTCTCCACTTCAGCAACACTTACAAACACCAAACTTAGCAGTTTTATTCCTCTCTATATTCTGAAGGTTTTTACTGAGGGGTTTGTTCATATATTTCTCAGGCTGATTTATATGACATATTCCTAAAAACATGGCGAAAATTTGTTTTTTTCTCTTTCTGTTGACAGTATTTTCTGATTTATGGAGTAATAAAAAGAGAAATCCAGAATCCCCTCTACAAAAACCTTTAACTCTAATATGTCAACAAAATTCAACAAGAATTTTTAACCTGGCTTTATCCAATGTTCAGATTTATTTTCTGGAAATATATGCAACTTAGTGCACATTTAATTAGATAATGCATCATAATGTTTCAGAAAACTTGTAATCCAAAACAGTTGTCTTAATATACTGTGACTAATCATTTAGGGAAGTATTACATTTTACCCTTTTCCCTTGTAAATGTCTTGCCTTAAAGGTGATATATCATGAAAATCTGACTTTTCCAGGTTTTAAGTGCTATAATAAGGTCCCCGGTGCATCTACCAACCAAGGAAACATGAAAAAGATTAACCCAGTCACTTAGTTTTGGTAAGCCTTTTTCTGCAAGTGTCTGAGAAAACTAGCGCATCTGATTTCGCTCCCTTGGTGACGTGGCAAAGGGATCTCATTATAATATTACCGCCCCTTAATCTGTAAGTTTCCACCCTCGGCGCCGTCATTTGTTTTCGCAAGCCACAACGGTGTACCAGCTCTAATGCCATGGCGAAAGAAAACATGCTAACTGTTCTGTCTTTGGCTGCACAGACGAGCACATAACACTATTTAGAGTCCCAGCCTCAGAGGAGACACGAGAGCAGTGGATTTATTGATTTATTTACTGTATATCGC